AGATCGCTAGGGTTTGATCTTCGCGTGGAACAGGCAGTGCAATGCGCTAATGAAATGGAAGCAGGGTCGATCTGTGTGCATTTCTTTCAAAGGGACATTTTTGTTATTAGAGTCTATGGTATGTGTTTCTAGCTAGGGTTACAAATTGTGCTGTGCAAGCAGTCGACTCGTAGGTTTACTTATTGATCAATAAAGAAAGCCTTTCTTGTCGTCTTTGAGTGGAAATTATGTGAACGTTCCTTACACAAAAGACATTGTACCAAGTCCCAGTTCTGGGTGGTTTTTCTTTAACACAGACTGTTTTCCCGACTTGTATACTATTAGTACTTTGTTATTGCGTTAGTGACAATCCATACCTTGAAAATTCCATTTTAATCCAATCGTTAGCCCCACACATGCCACTCGGAGGCGGCAATTTAGTTGTGAATTATCCATATCAAATAGCAGTGTTATATCGTGTTACATTCTCAAATACCATTACCCGATGTGTCCAAAATTCAATACCTGACGACACATACCACTGCGATTCGGATTGATATTGGAGAAATTCAAACGCGCAGGTGCAGTGACATTACAAGTTTGTTGCCTCTTTACATTTGTTTCGATGTTTCGCTCAAATGATCATTCTATTGTTACATTATTATTATTATTTTGTTTATTATGTTAATGCAAGCTGTAGCCCGTAACAGCCATGACCCAATGCATGTCATCGATCATTTAGTACCATACGGCGGAGTTTCAATTTGTGCACCAGAGAACATGATCTCCGGTGTGTCACAGAAAACTCGAGTGCACTGCTTAACTGAGCAAAGAGCTATATAACCAACCAGACATGCCACTTTGGAATTCTCCGTAAGTGAAACACCACTCAACGGAAGCACAGCTTGTAGGGAATTGATTTCCCCCGAATGAAAGTAAAGTCACGGACCTCGTCGTGACACGCTGAAGGTGCCGATTATGGGCATTCCCGAACGGCTTCGTGCGTCGTAATTACGCCGAACAGAAAAATCAAAGAAACGCACCTTGCAGTGCACAGATCTATAAGTCAGCCGGGGTATACCAAGCACCTGGAGCCTCTAAAAATGCCAACCATCGCGCCGATTTCCTCTCTCTTTAAAGTCATCCCTGCTTGTAGGTGACATTTAGATTTCCCCCAATGCTTTTGGTAGGTAGGCACTAGGCACACACATGTGTCGTGCTTGCAGCCTGCTGTTGCTTTTTTAGGAGCGAGTGGGTATGAAACGTATGAAGTTAATTACGACAGCTAAGGTCAAAGAAAATTGCCTAGAAGTTATTATATATTAAGATAACCTTGTACTGGGTCGAAACAGAAGGGGACTTACGTCGAGAACGCTAATTAATCTAATCTTTGGAATATGAAACAATATCCGTACATTTTAATAGGAAGCACTGCCCGTTTTTCCCTTTCAAATCGTGACGCATGTAAACAATGTATAATCCCATAGACTCAGTGGATAACTAATTTGATCTTACTTTTGACATAAGGGATATGCGTCATACCAAATATGACCATCGTAAATTTAAATGACTCATTTCTGTGGAGCGAAAAGCCGATTTTAGCTGTATTGTTAATATCCAAAGACTATTATAAATCATTACTGAAGAGATAACATAAGCCAACGCAATTACACAAACGGATTAAACGGACTTGGAAAAGAGCTTCCCTTTGCTCTATTCGGATGTTTTGTAGCCACAATATGTACAGCCGCAAACCCTTTGCGTTCTTTATTTAATCATTTGTTACTAATTTCTGATATTGTTCAGATTAAGGTTGGTTAAGATTAACAATGTCGATACCCCACGTTATGTTAACAAGTTCTGTGCGTGGGTTCACTGTTTCAGTCAATACCATGGTAACATTTTAAACTGAATCAAACGTCGCAGCAAATTATTGAGTCAACGAGGCATGGTTTGGCTGAATAAAGCTAGAATATTTTTCTTTCAAAAGATCACACAGTCGTCCTGAATGGTCATTTCGGAAAATCTTCTCCTTTTTTTCTGCCACGTCCAATCACCAAACTCACATCTTTCATTAGTACTAGTACGCTAAGTTGGGGTCGGATTACAGCATACACCGGAAGGCTGCGAGAGTCGAGGGGAATATTAATATTCCTGCTGTTCGTTGTGGACCATTTAGAACATCAAAACGTTTCTCGAGTGTTTCAATGTTGTTTGGATTGGATGTCAGTGTCCTAGGACGTCCATGAACTCAGGAATGTGTTCACTATGGCCGACTCGGCTGCTTGTCAAGCCAATATCTGTAGACATTTCCAAGTTATGTACAGCCACGCGGACGCAATTTTTCAAGCTCTTTTGAAATCGCAGTTAATTTGTATATATTGGCGACAGTTCTACAGTTGGTACTCGCTAACGGGTTGGTTTTCGTTGAGTAGTTTGAATGAAGATTATCGATTTTCGTAAAACTCAAGACATGAAATGCACATTTTTTGCTGACTATATGTTGTAGAGATTGTTTGTTTCTTGTTCGCTCTTATGAATTGAGTACTGGGTAACTTTTGAGGCGACCAACAGTGATAGGCATATGTGATCTACTCATAGTGTGTGTGGCCGTTGGCAGGGCGTGGCATTTAGAGTTTCCGAATATCGCTCATCCCACTGGCTCAGGTTACATCACTGGCCCCCAACAAACTCACCCCAGCCAGCTAGGAATGGAATTCGGCTTTCTCTTCAGTCATTATTTGGGTCAATCCTTCCAGACGAAATTTCGTATTTGTCGTCTGGAGCGCGCGTCTAATCCATCGGAACCACGTTGCTGCGATTGATGATGGATGTGGGCCTAATTCCGTGAGTATATAGACCGTGGCCTTTCATCAAGTCGTGATATTCTCATTTTTTTTCCCAGCTCGTGCCACCCAACAGGGGGTTCGTATAGTGATTAACTTAAATTTTTCAATCCGGTGCGATGATAACCTCCGTGATGGCCACTTTTCACCACTTCGTACCCGAAATATGCACCTTTTACCAAAGCTTCTACAAAGAAATATTACTAATGGACAACGCGCACAGTCATCTTGTAGTCATAACTAGAGGCGTTATACGCATCGCTGCTACACTTCCTACTCACCACGAAGCAGTGAAAGTGTAATTCGCATTCGTTGGTTATTTGTTCATCATCATTTCCATCATCCTTGGCTGGGTGGTCTAGTCCATTTGTCGATGGTTCAAGACCCTATTAAACAGCTGTGCCACGGATGGACTTGGTGCTATTAGTGCTAATTCGTCTGCGATGGGAATGGAGTCCAGGTGCATTGGGACGGGCTCGAAGCCATAACCTGACTGAAGCGAGTGAAGTATCTTCCTTGCGGAAAAATTAGTCATTGAGACAAAGTTCTGTTTTTTCCAAATAACTTGACACAAACATCCCATTTTTTTTATCAAGCTTGCGGGAGATTGTCAAAACTGTTCCAAACATTTTCTCAGATAATGCCTATAATACGATTTACAACTACAGCAATGTCCGCTTTATGATTTTATATTGGGATGATCATGAGGATTTCTTTAGTTTCATTTATCTATTATTTTGAAACCGACTTGGACAGTTCCGCGGAATTCCCTAAGAATTCACACGCCTTTTTTTAAGGCCACTTGGAGTTGCAGAGCCAAGATAGTTCAATGGGTCTCAACTGCGAAACAATTGCGAATGGCAAATAGGCAGCGTATATTCTGCGGGCTTCAAATGTCAAAACAGAGTTGCTACATATCGGGGTATTTGAGACGATCGATTCAGTGCCCAATATCACGACGATAGGTTAGGAATGAAATAGTTGTAATCTCTCTGTAAATAATTCAGGTGTCTGCCTGCCGCTTCCACAGGGAGTGAGCGAGTCGCTCTTAACAGACAGGCAATCTCTATTATAACGTTACACATTCTATAGGGCTTTTTCATTTTCGACAATATTTGCTCTGGTTGAAGCATATTTGCACATCAAAAATCATTTTCCGTCCTCAGTCTAATAAGAGCCCAGCAGACAGGCTCCTCGGCGGCACAAGACCGTGAAATGTAATTACAACATCCCACTGCCCCACGGCTACCGACCTTTTTGCATGTGTTTGGAAAAGCAAAGGGGACATTATTGCCAACGTCTTGGCTGATATGCAAAAAAACTACAGCGCGTGTGGCTGTACCAATACAGAACACATTAAAGAAGAAAAAACATTATGAATTTACATTTAATTTACAGTAGGCGTCTACTATTCGGTACCGTGACGCTTAACGAAGCTCAGCAATTCCCAGTCGACGGGTTACATCTTTATTGCCTGCTATCCACGACACTTATAAGGGGTTAAGACTAATTTCGAGCACAGATGATTTGAAAATAAAAATGGGAGAGAGAAGGTCCCCCGTCACTTTCAATGAGCTGAGTCTTTCATCAGTGAGATCACAGAATGTACACAAGTTTGTCTTGTACTTCTACTATAGTCTGTATGTAAAGCACCATATCAAATATCGTATCAGTCTGAGCAGTTTATTTACTAAAATTTGCTCAGACAAATAGAGTGATTTTCCAGGAGTAAGAGCAAAGTTTTGATTTTTTTTTTTTAAAAGAGGAGGCTTAGTATAAACGGTAAAAGGAAATCCGTAGATGGCTGGTCATATAGTGCAGGGTTGCGATATACACGTAGTTATTTTGAAAATAGGTCTACGTGAACATGTGGCTGTTCCACATTTTTTTTCACATACATTTAACTGCTTAATTGTCCTACTTTTTTCTTACATGAGCCACTGCATTTTAATAGAATGTAATTTCAAAGTGGAATTAAAGGTTCATTAATAACCAGTGGGCCGTCAGGCATTTTGTGGACAATGGAGAGAGGATGTATAGCAAGCAATGTTTTCAATGGGCAGCAGGCGGAGCAGAGTATCGATTTTCGGCAGGAATTTAATTGGCATAATATTAAACCGTATCTAGCTAAAGAGTCTTCGGCATGGTTTTGAGAGGAAAGGGGTTGGTACTCACAAACTGCATGTAGTTGATGCCTTTGCAGAGTCCCTCGCCGATGGGCATGCCGGCAATGTTGGCTGCGGTGGGGATGGCGCAAATGGCCAACATGGCCACATCTGTCACAGCCAGATTGGCTATGAAATAGTTCGTAATGTTCTGCATCTCCCGGTACTTGAAGATGATGTAGAGCACCGTGCCGTTACCGATCAGTCCAATGATGGCAATGATGGCAATGATCGTCGGTACCACGATCCGTATCGTGGTCTCGAAGCTCTCCGGGAACCCAGCCATGGGTGGTGGGTCGGTAACATTGTCCAGACTGGTGTTGGTACCGGTGTCGTATCGAGGAGAACTGTACACGAAGACGGGAGAGTTCGTGCTCGCCACCCGCTCACTAAAGTTTGTGGGTGCAAATAAATCCACCACCGTGGTAGCAATGTCGGTGACGAAGACCTCAGAGTCAGTCATGATGGAAGTTCCTTGTCAGTACTGCAGCAAAGAATGAAGACAAAACATGCGCCAATAATGGCTTCATTAAATAAATAGAGTTACAAATTAGAGGTGTTGCATTTCAGCAGAATTCCGGCTATTCTTTACAATCGATGAAGTAACTGTCTAGAATGACTTGAAGGAGCATTGTCTTTTCCTTGTTTTCTCTCCCTCCAAAAACGAGCTTCCGTCAAGTATCAATCCGCAGCGCAGAATGAGGCTCGGGCTACTGGCGCGATTGATTTTGACTCTGCTCGGTAAAGCCCGCCCCCTGTCTTCCTCCCGCGTTATACGTCACACATTCACCGCGCAGCGCCTGCGGGCGAAGCGTGGAAAATGTCATCAGCGCTGCAATGCGTGCTTTCAAAAAGGGATACAAGGCATGCATTTACGACGCGTGCGGCCGGACTGCACGCATGGCGGGCGAAATAACTAACAGCCGGCTCGTTATAAGCGAGATCAATTGGTAAGGGTAGAGGCAGTCTCCAATACAAAACAAAATGGCAAAATGGGTGACTCGTGGCCAACTAAATATGTTTTCATTTGTTATTCCACTCCGTGGTTTTGACAACTCTCCCCAAATTGAAAACACAAAAAGGCGCAAAAAACTGACGGAAACAATTTTATTTATAACACCAGCCTACCCCGTGAACGTCAAAACAAGATCATTTATAGTGTCATAGACTGCGAAAAGACTACAAAAACACTGCCGCTTTTGAGCGTCAATTTGTCTATTTCCAGATGGCCAGAACTGAGCGGCAAATATTGTCTACAATATTCACGGTTCATTTTTTATGGTTGAGTAATAAAGTTAATTTACAAGACGGCACATTTTACCGGGTGGTGCTACTGCATAGAGACGCCCAGTAAATATGGGAGCATTCGACACACTTTGGTAGGAATGTATTAGAATGATGTGAAGTTCCTACTTGAGGTACACAGAAAACAAAACAAATATACTGAACACATATATATAGATATGTTTTTTTTTAATAATTTGCTGGCCAAGAAGCAAAGAGTACGTGATAAACCCGCTTGCATTTACACATAATCAAAATGTTTATTCAGTTACATCACAAATGTACTTATCTGACCAGCAAATGAATGCAATAACTTGGTGTGTGTTTTTTGAAGTAGGGGAATTCGAAATGGAAACGAGACCCCTGACACATTAATTCAGATTTAAGATCGAAATCCGTGTTGAAAGTTGGATGGTGTACAAAACCAATCCGATTTTATAAGGGACGATTTTATAAGGTATCATGTTTAAAATATAAGGCAAATTATAAATGTGCATTAAAATCTCCATACATAAAAATGTGAAGTACCTTCTTTTTACAGTAAAAAAAAGTATAAGTGTTTTATTACTAAACGAATAATGTTCCCTCGGGCTAGAATCACATTACAAAATGACGGAAACGGCATTCATGCTTTGTAGATCAGAAAGGGCCGTGTGATCATTGATCCAAGCTCTGATACTGATCTACTTAAACTATTTCAAGGCCTTCTCTGTTTCAGCAAGGATGCAATGGGTGTTTTCTCTCCAAAACGTTGTATAAAGTTCATGATTCTTATCTAGGGCAACATCAGAGTTTTCCATTATTATGACACGTTTCCGATTGTTCATCTTTCGAGCCCAAGTAATTAATGTAATACGAATACAGGTCTTAGGGCTTCTAGCGTCAAAACCTTCGAACCAGGTGTTCCACCAGACCCCTGAAGGTCCAGAGAAACAAATATATGGGCTGGGCCGAAACGGAACTGCCGGCAAAACATTGATCGAAGATCGAAAGCAAAGCAGGCCGGGAGCTCTTTCACTTCTTTATGCATCTTATGATGGATGCAGTAAGGAATCACTAAAACATCCTCTACGCAATAGGTGCAGCTTCTATCAAACAGCAAACAGAAGAAAAGAAAAAATTGACGAAAAGGGGCGTGACCATTTTGGCTTTTAAACACTTGGGGTTTAAGAGGGTGCTTGATTATTCCCAAAAAAATTAACAAAACCAATTTAAAAACTAAGTTATGTTCTCCGATATTTAAAACATTTACAATGATAGAAGTGAAAGCCTGTTTAGCCGCGAAACACTGACAGAATCCCAAGTATCATTAGAGAAATGTCCTCACGGACAGATGTGGCGGACCAGACATTAATCGGCTAGCCGAAAAACATCTCGTGACAGAAAACGCCAACCTCAACTTACGTCAAAGAGCCACTATTGAAATAGTTTGTATTGGTATGTGGAAGAGAAGCACCCGTAAGAAGCAAAGGAAATGAGACTTCCAATTTCGGTGCCCGATATTGCAGTATAGGCCTACATGAGAAAAAAATCCACCGCAGGTGAGCGTGATAGCCGAGTTGAACAAGTCGCAGATCACAGACAATGATGGCTAATATAACGAAGGCAACGAGGACCATGCCACAATGACCACGAGGCCACTGTGACTGAGAACAGTGGCCATGTCCGGCATGACATCCCCCACGACCATCATGACCACGTCATTCCCACGATCATGACGACCAACAAATCCCTTTAGACAAAGACGACCATGACACTCTTTTAATCCATGACAACCACGACATCCATCTAGGCCTTGACGACAACGACATCCTAAACTATTAAAATGAAATTTTGTACCAACTAAGATGGCAATACAGGCCATTAACATCCCACACACACACAAAATCTAATCAACAGGCAATCACGAAATTCCAGACAAATCACTTATATGGCCGTGTCCATCGTCAAAGGCGCCGTCTCATATTTCATTTGAATTAGAGTATAATTACCTGGAATAACTCTAGGCTATGCCACGAGTGCCGATGGAAAGGCATCATCGGTACAGCATAATACATTCACTCTGTGGATTAACATCGCAACAGTAGTCCTTCCATGAAGCGTTTCTCCCTATTGCAGACCAAGGGAAACACATTTTGGGGCCGTAAATTGTTACAAGCAAAGCAATTTAATGGACTTATTGATAATGAATTGTACGACAAATCCACGGAAGGGCGCTTTTTTAAGTTGTAGCTTGATAGCACGTGCCCCTTTGATTCAGCCTAACTAGCTTGTCGATCGTCACGTTCGAGAGATCTTGACTCAGTTTTCAAACCATTTCCTTGAATGCGCTAGCAGTGATGAAACTGTATTCCTATCTGATTCTGTTAAGGACAGGGTAAGAAGCGTGCTGTATTACCCGCTGCGCTCGCGCCAAAAACAAAACTTCGACTTAGGGACGCTGTGAGATAAATTCACAAGTACGCCCTCAAGGTGATTCATCATCTCAGTGTTCACTGAAAAAAAATGTGGAATGTAGATTAATTGCTACTAGTCCAAAGTAACTCAATGCATATCACTTCGGAGAAAGGGACTAAGGCATCTTATAAAGACATGAATCCCCTCCCCTGCGGTGAAAAGCAACATAACAGAGACGGCCACCTCATGTTGTTGAGAATAATAGGTCTAATGAGATCGTGCAGTTATTTTAGTCTTCTTATTAGGAGCTGATTATTAAACCATCAGGCTAGCGCACAATAATCATGTCTTGCATTTATTTCCTGCAGGTTGATACGGAATACCAGAAGAGCGAGAAAGGCAGGTGTTCTCTCGGTGCTGAACGACTAATGAACGTTTCCATGGATTGCAGCTTTTTCCGTATCAGTCAATTTACGATCCTGGCAAGAAAAAGCACAGGCCTCAAGTCCCCCGGATATTAGGGAAGGACCGATTGTATCCTTCCACACATCCTTCTCTTAATTATTTTTTCGTCTGGATATTTCCCTCCGGTTTCTTCAAGTAATGAGATTCAAATGTCAAACATCTTTGAGTTTGCAATCACATCTTGCGAAAGAAAAACAGCTCCCCTTTCAATTCCCCACACAACACTGTCCATCTAAGTAAATTGGATATTTGTTGGTCTCGCTGCGTCTTGCTATATTCTTCGGTTGATGGACTTTCTGTTGCAGTCCGGGTTCTGGACACACGGGGAAATTTACGGGTTGTCATCCGTTCTTGAAATAGTGCGGAATGTCCCTCAGTGCCTTTGGTCAAAGGTACGATATTGCGCATGTGCCATTGTTCAGAGCAGGCAGAATGTCAACAGGTTGAACAAAAATCCTGAAGTTATTTATTGAAGTGCACAATAGGGTAAGATAAAAGTACATAGGGTGACAAATGATATGCTAAGAATGCCCAGGCCAGGCAAAGCCAGGCTCAGTCAGACTAGGCCTACCACTTCAAGATGGGTCAAGATACTCTTGTACGAGACCGGTTGATTCCCCCGACAATTCCTTTCGGAGTAGTGCAAAGTCATTTGACAGTTTGCATGGCAGCTATGTTTGGATATAGTGTTTTTGCTTCTTTTGGATTTGCACGAGTAGACAGGCGTACATCCATTGTTTATTACAATTTCAAAAACTTCCCCAACACGGCTGGTGTATGAAGTATTAGTGTGAGCCATACATTACAAGATTTCCTCACAAATTGCAACATCTGGATTGTATTGTTTTTGGAAAGTCTTAATGCTCTAAGAAGTCATTAGTCTCTACATATAATACGAGATAATTTAGGAGTTATCTGGAGGAAAGTCTTATGTTTTGAAGCTTTTACGTTGTTAGTCCATAGAGTTTTGTTTCCAACATCGGCCTCTTAAACCCTTTCCAAACCCTACATATGGCTGGAAATTCACAACAAAATTACCCGTTTACAATAACAATATTGTCTCAGGCCAAGTCATAATTAGATATTTTACACCTTATTGTTTAAAAAGAGAACAAGTCTAGAGAAGCAATGCACATTAAGTACTTTGAAAACTTTTTTTTAAAGAATTTTCCAGCACTACTTGCACGTTGTGTTTTCACTACTGCAATGAAGAGGGGAAAACTGATTCGAAATTACGAAAAGATAACAATAACATGACTGCGAAGAATTCGCGTAAAAGTATGTTTAATGCAAACTAATCGCGATATCTTAACAAAAGTATTAATAATGCAACGTTTT